AGAAATAAATGTATTGGAAACTTTAACATAGAGTTAAAGGCTACTTCTATTTGGACTATCAATAGTCATCATAAAACAGATCAGTTCTCTCATCCTAAGTTTTAATGATTTACACAAAGACTCTATATAGAGAATGTTATTTTGTTAATTTGATTAGAGTTTCAAAAAGCTGTTCATGTGACGCTATGACAACAGAATATTTAATATTATATGTCTAAATTATCATTCTGGAATGAAAAGTAATTCCAAGATCAGTGTTTCAAGTTCCTCGTTAAGTATTTAATAAAAAAAATGGGAATTACATTAAGTAGAATTGATAAAAGCTTCCATATGTCACTGATGTCTTCTAGCCGATACGAAACTCTTTTCTGTACAATATCGAGTAAGTTTCAATGAAATATTACTTTAAAATTAATACGCTGACTGAAAATGTAAATGTTTCCACAATTATAATTTCGATGGTTTTTCCTCCGATGGAATCCTCGCGTAAATAACGTTTGCGTCACTGTGTTGCCATACCGTATCAAGCACTCGACAATTAGAAGGGCATTGTGGAAACGTGCTTTTCAAAGAGACTGGTCGATACTACGACTTAGAATCAGTGAAGGAAAAAGGAATTCGTTCTTATCATTCTCAAGGTAATGCCACGAGGTCAAGGTAAAGGTAAATACATTCACCCTGAGAGCGCATTACTCGATTAGCTTGGCGCATCTTAGCCGAGGCGCATTCAAAATGTTTTTCAAGGATTCCTAAAAAAAGAGTGATAAAAATTATTAGAACATTACAATATGTAGACTAGCTTTGAATTAGTGGCATTATTTCTTTTAAAACTTTGCAATGCTGATTAAAATGGAATAAAAAATTCAGGACGATCAATAAAGAGAACGATTAAAACAATCTGTAACAAGTCTCAAACTAATAAAAGAATGAGCATTAAAATTTCTAATGAAATGTATTCGTGAAATTGTACATATATTTTATATAATTTATTCCGTACACCATAAGATGTATGTGACTTTTCTAGTGCATTCATTTTATCACACAAGTATCAAATATATTTTTTAATTATTTTTTACTGTGTTTACACGTTGATGGATTAACAAACTCGAAATGCGCCAATCAGTGTAGAAAGACTCAGTTTTTAGCGTATCGTTTCTGGGATAAAAACTTTGTTTTAGTGAATTTCGAAAATAAAAATTGCGCTGCTCCCTTTTTAGACAGAAGAGCACGGACTGTAAAAGTTGGCTGAATATCAAATCTACATAGCAACCTCCGACGAAATTTTCACAAACGTGCTACACTCCGGGGTTCTACGTAAAATATCAAGATTTTCGAGTGTGATAATGTTATTAATCGCGACGGTACTAATGAGAGTGGTGCGCGGTTTTTTTCTCACGTGTCACGTGATAAAGAAGTTTCATTTCAGTTATCCTCGACCGCTTCTGTATTAATGATATTTATCCATGTCATCCCTTTAATGAAAAGAGTTATTAAGCATAATGATAACTATCTAATTAAAATGCAGAAAACAAAAATACAATCAATGAAAGGCGTACTTTTCGAAACAAATCTCGTGTACTCTGTTTCACCTTACATACATCGCCAGAATTGAAATTTTCATTTACGAACTATACGTTGCAATTAATTGCTATTGAAATAATTATAATTTCAAGAAAATAATAGAGATTTTCAAAACAGAATGGCTGTATAGTAAAAAAACATTTTTATTAAATTTTATTTAAAAATATTGTACAAATTCTTCTACATAGGATGAGAATTTTATGTAATGTGCACCAATTCAATAGTTTATCTAATCGCCGGGACTAAACGCTGCGTTCGACCATTTCTAGATAGCTCTAATTACCATAATACGGTAGAAAAGGTAGTAGCGCTATTATCGCAAAATGGAAGCATAGATCGAAACAAGACGAATAAATCGAACATTGGACACTTAGTTTCATTTATACGCTCTTACTACTCCTTAAAGTGTCCCAAGTTACGCCTGGAACACCCTGTATACCCTCTCAAAGAGCGGCCACTTCAGGATGCACGAGCGCCGCGTGAACACGTAGTATTCTATTCGCGGCACAATTTTCGAGGATCGATATATCGAGCGGCGTGTCCCGTCGGTCGACAACGATGTCTTCAAATAGCACGGTAGTTAACGTCTCTGAGAGCCACCCTCAAGAAGGGGTGGCGAGAGCGAGAGGAGAGACTGCAGGATTCTTTCTTTTCCTCCTTGCATCTTTCGTTTCCTCTTCCTCGTCAGCGGTGACGTTTTTCCTCCTTTCCGTCTCCCATCTCTCTCTTCGTCCTCCTACATACCATAATCTCCTCCTACTTTGTTTGTTTCGTCATTCCGACGTAACATGACTCTGTACAGTGTAACATGAACGGTATGAATAGCAAACGATGACTAAAACGCTTCATCGAGGACTGATAATTTAAGGGTTTTAAAGCTGATTGATGTGATTTGAATGTAGTCACCTTGATGTGGATGATGTCTTTTTAACGCAATCTTGTCTTTGACAAATAATTGTTAGACTGCAGAATGTATCATGATTTTGTGGGCTCTAACGTGAAGGATATAAGTAGCAAACGATGATTAGAACGGTTCATCGAGTAATGATAATTTGAGGGTTCCAAAGCTGACTGATGTGATTTGAATGTAATCATCTTGATGTAGATGGTATCTTATCTTTTTAGGGGCTTTTTAACGCAGTATTGTCTTCGACAAATAATTGTTAGGCTACAGAATCTACCATGATTCTCTGGACTGCAACGTAAAGGGTGTAAGTGGTAAACAATAGGTAAGATGCTTCATCGAGTAATCATAATTCGAACTTTCCAAAGTTGATTATCGTTATCTGAAATGTGAATGTACTTAATCATCTTAATGACGAGGATGTCCTTTATCTTCTTAGCGTCTTTTTAAAGCGGTATAGAGTTATAACGAGTAGCCATTAGGCAATAGAATGTCTTGGTTGCAATGAAGATAAATTGAATAATTCATTTTTAGTGCTCTGATATTTTGATTGTTATGGTTGTAGAAAAATAATTTTTATAATAACACGTCTATAATAAAAATATGTGCTATGATTTCTTAATATAAATCCTTTCCTACAACTGAATCTTTTGCAAAAAAGAACTTCTTTAAAAGATTAAATTCTGTCTTATTACATCGTTATCGTTCACTTGTTCTCGATTGTACGTAATCCTTGGATATATTGCCATCCACGTTTTTACATAGGCCTATAATAAATGCAAATAAATTCTTCTTCAAGCGATGACACTTTACGTTAACCGCATCTGAGCGACAGAATAATTGCATAGTTTAAATTTCTCTCCCTTTATCCTTTGGCTAACAATTCGTGGAAAATACGGAAGTGTTAGTTTTCGCTGCTTAAAAACCTAAGTTGTTACGGGATCAAAGAAACGAGGTATTCCCGCGTTGATGTTCTGTTCGTCGCTGCTCGTTACACGTATCTCCCTAGAGGATTGCAATGAGTACACATTTGCGTTCTAACTAAGCTTTACGGACAAATTTGCGCAGATAAAATTAACTCGACTGCATAATTGAAGCTGTCACGCTTTTCTCCAGAGAAATCAATTATTTACTTCTACACACAACACTTAGTTAATTATAAAGAAATATTCAAAATAAGAGATTCAAAAGACACTATTTTTTTAGATCATTGATAGGATCAATTAAAAACTTATTGTACAAATTGAATTAAAAAATTGATAAAAAGTTATGCAGGTATTAGAAAAGTAACAATTTCTTTCATAACTTGCTATTACACTTTCTTGAATTTATTTTCAATTGTATCTGAAAAAATACATCTCCCAAACTGCCTGCAAGATAACAAAAATTAGAAGCCCCTTATTTCAAGAGAATTCTATCATCAACTACCACGAGCGTGTTCGCTTGTTCCTTCAACCGAACGAACATCTAAACCTCCAGGTCCTCTAAACAACGTCTTCTGATTCTCCCTGGCATTCTTTCCCCGTAGTAAAGAATTTCTTAAAGTATTAAAAACCTTCGTCGGAGGTAGCTGAATTACATATGCATCTTGTAACCCCTTACTCTATAATTTTTTTCGCTACTGTGCTTGCTAAAGATACTTTATTGTTCATAATTTCCTAGAAAAAGAAAAGAATTTGATGCGTATTCTATGTCTACGTTTGCACCAAAGATTAACCGTTGATAATAGTAAAGTAATGTTTAATTTATATTCAAAAAAAGTTAATAACACTCAGATTTATCAAATTTAATTGAAAATTTTCATCACGAGTCTAACGCGATATCATAGGACAAGGGGTTAAATACCAGAACAAAAGAGAACTATCATCAGATCACTTACTATCTGAATAAGTAAATTATTTCTTTGTTATTTCGTATTCCACATACAAAACTCTGATATCGCCAAAATGAATACATTCGTCTTTAACAAACCGAATTTCTTCAGGTCTATGAAGTGCAAGATATTTGAAAGAACAATTGCCGTGAAAACGTTGACTTCTCAGTCCCTATTTCCTTCAGATGATTCCTCTGATCCTAAGGTAATTTGTTCAGTGACTGACTCGAGTGATTTGACGGTCAACGTGTTAACGCGTCGCTGGGGCACGCGAGATTACGGCATCAGCCGCGATGCCACCACACGGGCGTACCGCATTGGGGTAAATTCGTGTCGTGGCGGCACCCGTGAACGGTGCGAACCCAGGGGGATTACCACCACTTCTTTCCATCGTCGGTCCTCCGGGTGATACTCTCGACCCTTTCTCAACCTGTCTTCGTCTACGTTGCACGGCAGCGCGAGTTACCCCTTCTATACTCATTCTTCTTCCCTCTGTATCGAGTTAAGAGCGGCAGAACCGGGGGAGAGGGGTTGCGGGAGAGAGAAAGAGTATATCGAATGCTGGTCCACCACCTCTATCGCCACCACCACCGCTACCAACGAGCCTCCACCACCTCCACCTTCTTGCCTCTCTACCCGGCGACGATGAGGATTCTGCAGCTTCGGCAAAGTCGTTTGAAGAAGTCAGTCGACGGTCGCACGTCCTCGCGAATCGGGGAATAACGATCAGACGGGCGAAGGAAAGAACGAAAAAAAAGGAAGGAAAGGAAAAGGGAAGAAGACAGACTCTGAGAAAAGGGGGCAGCTGGACCCGGATCCCCTAAGTTTCACTGGCGAAAGGGTGTTTCGCTGAAACTGATCGTTTCTTCTCGTCGATTTCTTTCTACATCTCGCGTCTTTCTTTTTTCGGCGATCTCCGATCTTCCCGCGAAGATCCGCTCGTCGCTTTTCCGTTCCCTTTTCGCTTCTCGTGCAAGGAAGATGCGTTGAAAAAGGATCGACGAAGGATGTCGATGGACGAGGCACATGGGGGCGGCATGGTTTCCGCAATCCTCTCCTCGGTTGTACTTCTTCTTCTGCTGGGACGCGCCGCGGACGCTCAGTAAGAATTATCCCTCGCAAGACACTTTCCTTCCTCGCGACTCGGTGGCCGCTACGTCGGCCATCTTTGCACCCGACGGCAGTCCTTCCTGATCGGATTTGTAATCTTTCCTGTGACGCACCTTTGCGCGCAATGATGTGTAATTTTAATACCTATTTTGGTTAAATTCTATGGAGTAATTTGTTTTTGGGTTTTGTTTATACAGTGTAAAATGTTTGTAAACGATAGTGGTCGGAATTTAGGGGGGTTCGTTTGGGTATGAAGTTCTTTTGGGGGATAATATTGTAATTGCGTAAAGTTTCTGTCATTGCAAAATCTGCTGTTTTTCTTTTACTTTTTTGGTAGACCAAGTTTAGATTTTGTTTGGTACTGATCATTGCGTTGACGATAATTTGACATGGGCTTGTAAAATGAGAATTAATTGCGATGATCGACCAATTTTGTTAGATATAAAAAATTCTTTGTAAAGAACTTCTTCTGTTTGTGTAATCAAAGGTGTGATGAGAAAAACTGTCACTTTCTTTTTTTATGATTAAGTATTTTGGAAACTCAGTATTGTTTTTTATAAATTAGTACTTCATTCTTCTGTTTCTTTGCTAGTACTTTCTTAATTCGTTCCTTATATGTTCAGTTTTGTATTGTATGCGCAACCTTTTACTGAAAGTAGCAAATGCGGTTGTAAAATCATTCGTAAAAGGTTTTCAACAAAAATTAATTTAAAACCGATATATAACATAGCATTACCATTTATAAGAGATTTTACTGAGTATGCCCAAACAACTGAGCACATAAAGTTTACGTAATAAATGAGTTACAATATTTAATACAATTGCATATTATTTTTAATATCGAATCACTGAGACTTCTAAGTTTATGAAATCACTTTCATTGAAGAAAACGAAAATTGTGCAAAATTAAATAATTGAAAATAGTTAAATGCTTTAACGGTTCATTTTTTATAGTGATCAGTGTCTAAATGGTTGCTCGTGGTAGCTGTGAGGAGGTTAAAATGTTTATCTGAAACAATAATGCAGTGATAATTGCAAAGTGCAGTGCATCAAAGATGATACGGCGGTTTCCATGAGTTACAACATCTTCAGTTCAGGGTTTATCACGTGAAAGTAATAAATTGCTATTGCTCGTGTAAACTTCTGGCGGGATGAAATGTGTTGCTCGGTGCGTTTGAAGAAAAATCAACGAGGTGTGACAAACGAGCGGTACAGTGCACACGGAAGAGTGGCTCTGGACTTTTGTGATTTCAATCGTGACTGGCTGCATTATGTGATTCGTGGATGGTGTGTTAATGAACAATGCAACGACGCAGTCATACGTTCGAGCCGCATTACTTTTCTTCCCCAGACGAACAAGTTGGTCGATGAAAATTCTGGCATATTCGAGAAGAAACATTTTTTAATTACTAATTAATTTTATAATTCATCGTTTGAACACAGAAATGATTATTTTCTTGCGAAATAGCCATTTATCTAATAATGACTGTAACAACGATACGTTCTGTTTAAAATTTGGAATCTTTTGTACAAAACCAATCGAGAGTTAAATAAATAATCAATGATACTGCTGCTAATAAGAATTATTCATGATGAACTAGTTAGTATTTGTGTGAAATGTTCGTTAATAGAACATGTCATAGTCTTACAATTTCAATATATTGTAGAAATTTGTAAATGTAAAATGAGAAGACTCCATTTTGTTCTCAAAGTATTTCTTTTTCCTTAATTATCCAAGAGGTTGATTAAAAAATGGATTTATTAATTGACATGTATTTCGCTTCTTTAAAAAAGAAGGTATTATTAAACGCTCAACGAAGACTGAAATTTCAGAAGGAGCTTGGAATTCTTCGATCTTTTACCAGAAGACCCGAAGCTCTATGACAAAATGCGGCCGCCGAAAAAAGATGGACAAGCAACTGTCGTCTACTTCCACGTTACCGTAATGGGTCTCGATTCTATAGATGAAAATTCAATGGTACTGTCTAATGTTGAACACAAAAAATGCAACATAGCCTGAATCAAATTTCTCCAAGATAAGATACTATCTTCAACAAAACTTTCTTTCTATAGTTTCAACTATGTTTTAAATGTTTGCTGTTTATAAATGACTAAAATTTAAAGTACCATAGTAATACTGTTCAAAGAAATTAATTAATCATAGGTTTTCGTAAAATAATCGTGCATAGAAATAGAGGCAACTGTGAAATACGAGAATGAATTATCGTGGTATGTTTTTCGTAGACGTATGCAGCTGACATATTTTTCGCTCAAACCTGGAAAGATAACAGGTTACGATTGCCAGAAAACATGACGTCTGAATATAGGTGCGTGGTCTATCGAATAATAGTTTCAATAGAAAATTGAATTTATTTCAAATATTTTGTGGCTGATCTTTTAGATTTATGTATATCTTGAGTGAATTCGTATATAATTATAATATTTTGTTGCGTATAATTACAACATTATTCAAATTTTACTGTAATGTTAAGATTATTAGAAGTGGACTGGTTGAAGAATATGTGGCGGCCGGATTCATTCTTCAAGAATGCCAAGTCCGTGACCTTCCAGACAATGACCATTCCTAATCACTACTTGTGGCTATACAAAGACAAGACTATTTTATACATGGTCAAGTAAGGGACAAATGTTTTTAATATCTTTGTAATTTGACTTGTTTTTCAATCATTTTAATGTAACAATCTAATATATTGCCCATATATTATTCTATATATTATTGAAAAGTATGTTTAAAATAGTATTTTGCAAATGTGTTACTTAAATAAAATTTGTAAATAGGTATTAATAATTAATTATTTTCTCCTTAATTTTATAATAAGAGCAGTACAGTGTTTTCTATGTTACAGACTAACGCTGAAATTATCCTGCGCTATGAATTTCCTGATCTATCCTCACGATACGCAGGAGTGCAAGCTACAAATGGAAAGCTGTGAGTTACACTATTCTTGTAAAATATTTTTCAAAAATTCTCAAAACTTTTAGTTCCTTTGTAGGCTTATAGAATTAAAAGACTTGTTTCTTATTCACGATTTGCGTAGATTAGCATTGCACGTTCTTAAACTCGTCTAACGAGCGTCTATAAACATTTGCTATTGGAATAAATTAATAAGTGTATTGTTAAATTTATATATTCATAGTAAACATAATGTGAAATAATTAACCAATAATAACATCAACAATGAAAGTTTATTTTTTCTTATACTCTATAATAGTCATATTAATAGTTGTCATATTATCGTGATTGATAGTACGTTTAATTGTCTAAAAGACGAGATAAATAATCAAATTTTTTAATATAAATAAATCAATATTATTAGAATAGTTATTATTTTTCTATTGGAATACGTGGGTTCCTAATATGGAACACGTTCTATATTGACTGCACATTCTTTCTTAATGTTTCATAAAATTACGTTATATTTTTATTTTACGGTGGCAATTACCAAAATGATAATAATGGAAAAAAATATTCATTTCTCACGATAAAAATGAGTTTCGTTTACAAATTACCTAGGTGTTCCATATTAAGAGTCATTTTTTCAGGTCGCTGTTTTTGACTTTATTTACATTTTTTGCATGTTCAAAGACATTTAAATTTCTGCGTTGTTATCGATCACTATATGTATGTTTATTAACTTCTTTGTTTTTTGATGTGAGTTTCATTGAAAAAAATGCATATTTCTTTTAGCTAGCTTTTGAAATTAGGTGTTCTATATTAGGTACCGTTACGTTACTTGCTATTTTTATCAAATCTATTTCTTCTTCTTTTCCCATTTCTTCTTATATAGTACTATTATCTTTCCCATATAAAGTACTATATCTCAGCAAACAAAACCCTCTTATGGTAAATATTGTAAATAACATTTGTAAGAAAGGCGTTTCAGACTATCTAAGTAACAATGCTCCATTTAGCTCGTTGACTCCGATTGAACAGAAATCGGAGTCCTCGGCCTCTCATTCTCAAACGAAGCAATACCATAGCACCCGCATGAATACAGCGCATTCGGCAGGCCCTATTCCTAGAGAACGATCGTTCGTTTCGCGTTCTGAATATCATGCGATTTGTACAAGGACAAAATAACTCGGTCAACAGTGTCGCACACGACGGACGAAATGATCTTCCAGTGGGATCCTGACGTGCCACTCGTCGTCGACGAGAACATCGAGTTGCCGCAGCTGCAACTGGTTAAGAATTATACGGCCGATTGCACGCAGGTCTATTCGACAGGTGAGCAAAAGAAATCGTCCGCGTTTCCTTTGTCCTCCGTAATTAATCTAATTAACGCTCGCGCAAACGTTTCTCGCATGAACGATCTTTCCCCGGGGATGATATCAATGACGTTAAACAGAACTGCGGTTGTTTAATGTCCGTTTTCCCCCGCGGTACTCGAAATCTACTATCAACGCGAGGGGTTGATTGAATAGAGAGTTGTCTGCGGAAACGTGAATACACAATGACGCGCGAAAATATCGGGCCACAATCCGTAGTTTTCTCTTCAATGATGATTTTTCAATGATAATTTTGTGGAATAAATGTTTTATCGAAGAAGGAATTATTGAATCGATACATTAATACACCGGGTGCAATTGAGACTATGGCATTTATTATTGCTCGAAGGTTTTACACACCGATATACAATAAAATATTTGTAGCCCGAATTAGGTACTGTCCGAATCTGTTTCTAAAATATTAATCTTCGGTTAATACGATTGTTTTATTGTGTAGGTAATTTCACTTGCCTCGAGGTAGTCTTCGTCCTGAAACGTAGGCTCGGTTATTATTTGTTTCACACCTACGTTCCTACTTGTCTGATCGTTATTATGTCGGTAAGTGAAGCTAATCACTGCCTATTCTTCTTTGCATGGTAACTCTGTACATTTAACTGAGTAGTACATTCTATCCTTCCAGAATTACGTTTATATTATTATTCTTATTAGTCGTATTCCATATTATATAAATATTCGAAACTATACTATACATTATTATTGCTTTCAAAGTTTTTAAATCATTAAATGGAAACGTTGATTTCTGTTTATTCTTTGCATAGAGAAATCGATTTTTGTGTAACATAAAGAATCTGATTTTAATTACTAGAAAGAACTTCTACTAAATATATCGCGTTGAAACGAATTGAAAATGAACTAAACTTGTGATGTCTTGTACAGTGGGTCTCGTTTTGGATAAAACCGGAAGCGGCACCAGCGAGAGTGACGTTGGGTGTAACTTCTTTGCTGACTCTGTCAACGCAGCACGCGAAGAGTCAAGCGTCCCTGCCTCCTGTTTCATACTTGAAGGCAGTGGACGCGTTCATGTCAGTCTGCACGGTGTTCGTGTTCATGGCATTGATGGAGTATTGTCTGGTGAACATTGTCCTCGGCGATTCGGACGCGCCGGCCGCGAAACCACCTCCACCGCCGCCACCGCCTTCTTGTAGTGGCGCAGATACAGCGAAACTCGATAAAATATTCGATATCGCCACTAAGGTAACGCCTGGTTGAAAAGATCGGGTTAGATCAGACACAATTTAACCCTTCAGGGGTGACATCGGTGCAGGATACTGACTCTAATACCGTCCCCTTTATTCTTTTTTTCTTATTTAACTATTATTTATTCTACTTTCTGCAATTAAAGATAGCTATAAAAAGGTATAAAAAGATTTAAATTATCAATAAATTATAGTAATATCTGTAATGCAGAAAACAGAATTTGAAGGAATTTAAAGAAACCGAGAATTGTGTGCTGTTTCTGAAGAGTTAAATGTTTGTTACTTGAAAGATTTTCAGAGTTCAACAATTCTTAAGTTCAAACATACAAAACATGAACTTGAAAATTAATAGTAATACTTTCGATAGAATTTCCATTCGTACTAGGAATTATATTCCGAACTATATATAGTCCCAAAAAAATAAACAGAATATTTGGATAGTACAATATAATCGTTTTTTCTATAAATAAAAAGAAAATTTAGAAATGCCAACAAATTCAAATAATGAATTGATATTATCAACAAATAAATATTTAATCGAAATGTCTACACTAATCGAGCGGTTAAACGAATCAATAACGCGACGTCTTCTATCCACGCGTTGATGTCTCCGAAGTTCCGAGGTACTAAAGCGATGACTGTGCGCCGCTGCTATAGACCGTCTAACGAGACGAGGCAGTGGACTGAGCTGCAAATTAGCTATAACTGCACTTCTTGAATTTTCATATATTTTCCACATTGATTCTTAACTTCTTACATTAAAATAAATTTCCTCATTCTTCGATTTAGTACCACAAAGTAACGAAAATTCTTTTGGCCATGCAAACGTTGCAAAGGTTAAACCTTGAACCTTCGAAGATTCAATTTTTATATAACTCTGAGTCTGTAAAATTTTTACAAAACTAAGATATGCAGTTCAACTTGCGATTGTTTTTACGCAGGAGAACGCAATGTTGTTGGCCGGCCGACCGCAGAACTCGTCGGCAGGTCCGATACCAAGTAATCTGCCAGGTCCAGCACGGGGTCCGCCACCGGGAGCGGTACGAGGACCGCCGCCAGGTCCGCCTCCGGGCCCTACACCGGCCCAAAAGGCGCGGATGCGTGCCCTGAATATCGATCGAGTCTCACGGGTCTTCTTCCCATTCCTATTCGCTGTATTAAACGTAACTTATTGGATAATGTTTGCCGAGTACATTTAAGGAACACCGGAAATCGATTCCCCCGACCCTCGCATTGGCTCCAATGAGCCCGAAGAAGAAAGTATGAGGAAGAAAATGAAGAAAACACGGGGCACAGAGGAGATTGTCGCGGGAAGAAAACGCGAGAAGACGCCGCTTTGACGGAACGATATCCGAATCGTTCATGAACACGTGGAGGAATTAAATATGGCGTCCATTAGGGCGTTGGTTGTATGGTTATAATAATTATTAAGGTTGTTTTTTCAGTCGGCCGTAATTAACGGGACATTGATGAAGAAGGTAGAAGATGTTCAGGGTAAATTAAATATTGGGTAGATTGAAAAGTTTGGTACAATCGGATAAAGAATATTAACAGAAAGATTCTCTGCCACTGAAACGGTTTGTTGTCGAAAATTATTAAAGCACTGCTCGTAGTTATGTGTAATTCGTAAATAGAAATGATCAAACATTTGTGCTTTGTTCATTTGCACAAAGCGTACTTTTTAATTGCAGACAAATATTCGCTAAGCATTTGCTTTAATTAATTTTATTTTTATATTAGATTTTTTAATATTTATGTTACAGTTTGTAATAATAAATAAAAGTTGGATGAAACGAAAATCCTGATAAACGAGATACTAATATTATTTGAAAGTATGATGAGAATAAGTAACAATGATACAATTCTATAATGATTTGGTTATTGTTCCTTGATTGTACCATATTTTTCAATCTACCCTGTGCGATAAGGCAGCGTGATATTAGACTTCGTGTAATAAGTTCGTTTTCAACTGATTTTTGCGAGAGTTCACGAACTCAATAATTCAATATGAATAGGCTATCAGTTCTATCACATTGTAAGTAAAAAAAGAAGAAACAGATATTTGAAACTCAATAATAAGGTCATTAATCACATCTGTACAATGCTGCGGTGGTTGATCCTTTTGTTCCCGAATGAATGGAATTGAGATATTAAAAAAAAAGATCTTGCACCGAGCAATTGATTCAATTTGATTGCACCTGAATGAGTAATTAATGTTATATGATCATATCAGAAGCTTTTATCGTTAGTGAAGCATGAAAAACTGAAGTATTTGAACATTTGCACGCATGGTTTGTTACCTTTAACGAATAGCTGATTGATGAAACTCGTTTCGCTTTTCGTTCAACGAAATTAGCCAATGCTAATAAAATTCAGCAACAATTCTTATCAAATTATTTAAAAGTTATATGAACGTTAACATTAATAGTAATTTGTTTGGTTATAAACAAGGAATAATTTTGTTACAAACAAAATGATAGTTACATAGAAATTATACATCTATTTAATTTGTTTAAAATTCATATCTAATTGTTAATGTCCAAAATAAATTAGCTCAGATAACGCATTGCTAATAAAGAATTATTTTTTGTTGTGAAGTGAATATATTTAAATTTATTATGAATTTAATTATTAATTTCTTATTGAAGAAAGTTACTCGCTATGATACTTCTAATGTCATTATTAACAACGTTTAAAGCGAAACAAGAATATTTTAACATACAAAGATCTTCATAGGATGGGCTAAATAAAAAATTGCAAGGCGCAGTCTCAAAGGCTACACACAGACATTGATATTGAATTCATTCAACTGAGAAAACGCTGGAACTAATACTGTGTTGAGTTTTCAAGGAAATCGAAGAATGTAATATTTTATTTGGCTCAGTCTGTATAATAATCGAAGAAATATATCGATCAAAATGCAGAAGAAGAACTAAAATACGCATATATCACGCTATTAATTACATTTGCTACGAATTGAAATTCGAAACCCGCAGATTTTTGCAGTAGCGATTTCAAACACGATCTTCAAAGTTTATCCTGTTTCAATCCTGTTCCAACTAAGAAACATGAAGCATCGAAAGACATTAATAAATCTTAACAGAATATCGAATTAATAACCTTGGCCGAAAGAATTGGGGTGCTTTCGCCTACTTAATTATTAGTGATGGGATCGAATTTAGTATAAAAATGAATTAATATTCAAATTTGTTTGTATTATATTCAAACTACACTTACAAAAATAAATTCTTAGTTATATTGATTTATTTAGAATGTTAGTATTTACTAAAAAGTATACTATGTAATTGTTTGCTTTAATTGTCTTAAAAATCAGCTTTCGAAGTGTCGATATACATATATCTTGAGGACACAAGAAAAATTGGAATACCTGCTTTGAATTAGTGAACCTGATTTTTACTCGAATGAAAGCTTTTCCGATTATTACTATTATCGTTATTACTATTACTATTACTATTACTATTATTATTATTATTATTATTATTATTATTATTATTATTATTATTATTATTATTATTATTATTATCATCATCATCATCATCATCATCATCATCATCATCATCATCATCATCATCATCATCATCATCATCATCATCATCATCATCATCATCATCATCATCATCATCATCATCATCATCATCATCATCATCATCATCATCATCATCACCATCATATTATTATTTTTGAACGTTACCGAATCAAATGAATATAATAGAGTCGCATCCAATTTATCATTGAAGTAGCACTATAAAATTTATGGTAAACACATTAGCAAATCAATGATAGAGTTTAGAAACAATTTATAATAATGTATACTTGAATGGTACACAAAGATTAATTAAATTCGAATGATCTAGACAGACAAATCTCACCTTTTCTAATTTTAAAACGCTCGCCATTTTGTCGGTGATTACTGCGTCGTAAATAAGCTGTTTATATTGTACAAAAAAATTCCATAAATATTTTATTATTAGAAATAATTAATGAACTGTTATAGGAGCAAGTAAAACTTGTTACTTATACTTTTGTAGGGATAAGCGTTATATTCGAAGCTTGTTAAGTACTTCGTATTATACTAAAATCTTATCGGTGCTAAGATATGCGTATGAACAAATATACGAGAAATGAAAATGGTGAAGATAGCTATAAAATGTTCGAATGCACTGTATTAATTTTAAGGTATTCTTATAAGTGAATTGCGGATTTTATGTACTTATAGATGATGTAAATGTCCGATACGCGATAAATTTCAGTAAGTTACTAATATTATTATTTCACTTTCGTTAGCTTGGAAAAATGTAAATTTGTTTGAAGTTCGTTGTCTACGTATAGATAATATTTAGACGTATTTTTTTCAAACGAATGCTTCTTTTAATGTATATATTAACATTTAATCTATTATACGTGATTATTAGCAATAATGACTTAGGATAAGTAAACATACTAACTGAATTAAATTTTGTTGCAACGCTTTGAATTTTTAACAAGGCACAGAATTGTTAATAATTGAACTTTTAATAATCACAGTTTGATTATGTTTGAAAGTATCGCTTTTGTTTCTCGCAGTGCTCATAGAAATCTTTAACGTACAACATAAACTATCGCTCAAATGTGTCTGGATATTTGCTTATCTTCGATAGAATGTCATTTAAATGCTAGATAAAATATTCTGTATTGATATTTTCATTGCTGGATATGATGTTTATTTAAATGAAATTAATACAGGAAATTTGAGAAATGATTTAAAAACATATCATCAGAGTATAGTTGAAATAATATTTAAAATCAATTAATATAGAAGCAAATGATCATATTTAAATTATTTCACAACTAGTACGTTTAGTAAGAAAGTAATTAATTCATGTATTTTACGGTACATGTGTAAAGTGTCCTGATGCATATGATTGGTAGTATATATTGTTACTGTTTCAATATTGTTTCGTGTCTGGTCCCATCGTTAATAATTATTACATGTCGAGACACTAATAGACACCGTAGTGACATGTTCCGTGTAGAGAATTATAACGAAAACCATGTAACTTATGAATTCGAATCGAGCTTTCACAGCGTCCATGAACAAATGTGGCGAATTTGTTTCCCTCTTTCTTCTCCCTATACCAGGGATGCCCACGTTCCTTTTAAAGATAAGGCTTCTTCGTCACCATAAATCTTTTTGTGAAATATTTTAGATCTTCTATGATGTTACATTGAAATATTAAACGAAAATGATTTAAATCTCTACCTGTATCGTGGTCATTGATTACAACCCCATCCCTTCATAATTACGTTATGAAATACTAAAAGTAATAAAAGATCTATAATTAATACTTTATTACAAAATACCATTATTTATTTGCTTTTATTTCTCGTATTTTCAAAACTATTTCATCCTTGTAATTTTTCCATTTAATTTCAAATGGAGGTGGATATAAAATAAAGTATTATATATGCTCCCTATCGAAGAGTTTATTTTAAAGAATATTTACGAATTTTACGATTACTGTAATCTATAAACATAATAATTCGTGTTACCGATGAGGGATAAAGTAGGCTGAATATCTTATCACTGACGAGATATAGGCACAGACTTAAGTTATCTACAGACTGTGCATACAATGTATTTCTCTGTATTGTTCTGACATACCGATAGCGTTAGAAATGCCCCAATGCACAAGCGGACTCCATTTCAATCGAACCATCAACTACTGAAAATAACGAAAAGTGGAGAACAATACTTTCAATAAAAAAACATTCTAGTCCATATATGTAATCGGCTGCTTAATAGTCGAGAATCAACAATACTTACGTATATAAGATACCTATATTTACGTACATGCACGTGCATTTTTAATACACAAAGGAAGCTCTTTACATTTATCAATTTTGCCAACTTTAATTATCGATTCAAATGTAATTATTAACTTGGACACTTTTAATCATAGGGAGTATATCAAAACTTATGCTTTTTTTACAAAATCGATATTTTAGGCCACAGGATATGAAGTAGGATGTCCTGTATATCCTGTTCCTCGTCGGTGATAATATTCAACTTGTTACACCTTATAGTTTCATGTGCGTTAATTTGATGAAAACTTATCTATTCAAAACTCGTGAACGTTCTTTTCAGTTTTGTTCACGTAAATAACGAAACTAAATGCGACATATTTATATAATGCATTTTATTAACTGTTGGGTGTCTACAGTTTCATTTCCAAATAACAATGTTCGCAAATGGATAATATAACGCGCTAATAATGAAATAGTCGTAAAAGGTTTCACTGAAACTTTTCAAACCGAAACTCTGTGCACGGCGTAATTATTATTTCAGTACATAAAGGTACAACGTAACAAAAGATCTAACAACATTTCTGAAACTCATAGATTATGTTGGAGGTAAAGAAAATCTGTACATACATAAGAAAATATTTACATTACAACAAGAAACATTTCTTCTCTTTTAATACGAAACAGACGGATGATTGAATAAATTCTCATAGCGACTGAACCGAATTTCATGAATACAAAAAAAATGTTCGTATGAAATAGTCTTGTTTGTACATAGATATTCTTATTTATTCGTGGAAGTTATCGCATTTCTCAATTTCGAAAGTTTATTCCTCTTGGTAATCATACAGCACATTACAATGAATTTCGTTCAAAAAATCGTCACGCGATTAATTCTTAATGTTTGTTTCCATAATGACGTCTGTTTTCCTCCCGCTGAATGTGTAACAATTTCGATTGATCGTCGTCGAAAGAATCGTTGAAAAAGTTTGGAAGACAAAAGTGAGAAGCGTGTGGTTTTATAAAAATATGCGAAGCCGAAAATGTTAATGCAATACAATACCCGTTCTCAGACTTTTTACATTCAAATTCCTTTTGTTCCTTCATGTTTTTCTTCTAAAGAAAATATTATTTCAAAAAGTTATGAGTACATTGTAGCAATATATTTACTGATTTAAGTATTGAACTAAACAGTCAGAATTAAATATAACGGAATTAAAAAATTGATAATTACTTGCATCGAAAATACAATTCGAATAATTCACATACATAAGTAAAATTTAAGTGACGTGGAAGCTTTATAGAATAAAAAGCAAAGCGAAGAACGACATAAGAGACGAACAATCGAATTATTTTAAAGAAATCAGTTTGCACGATTGAACCATTTTGAAGAATATTACCTTAAGATGTAATCGTACACAGGTGAAAAATTAATTCGCAAGTAGACACACTTGACAAAACAATAACGGCAAATGTTATTATAAATATCGCTAAAAACCGTTGAAAATACAATGAACACGTAAGAAATTCATTTCTAAAAGCTGTCTTGTTGCTTTTTTCCCACGTATCAAATATAAAATTCAAAACGATTCATAAAACTCGAAACGTGTATGAGAACAGTATATATTTCGATAAATATGTTTCTTCATTATCGGAGCTTCCCGAATTGAAAGTTACGTTCCATTTGATAGACGACTAATCGTAATAATTCATTCTGGTAGTACGTACAATACGCCGCAGAAAAATATAACAGAGAAACGACCAAGACAGCTTTTGCGATAAGATCCCTTATGCATAATGCAATGTCATAACATTGGATACAAATAGTAAAAGTCTTGATACAAGAAAATGTATATAGTAAATTGATTTCGTACACTTAAAATCTGTAGACGTGCACTTAGAAAGAGTGTGTACAATGCGACTGCCAGCGCGAGGAATAATATTGCTCCGATAGAAGAATCTGTCTCGGTCGAGTGTGTGTTGCATCACGCGACTTCTTTCGCCGAAGACGCAAATAACGTCCATATAAAAAATATTATGTAATAATAAATGCATAACAAAAGCAGTGGTATATATTAGTAATAATATCTTTGGTTTCTCAATTCTGTATTATTATGCAGGAGGTTCACTTAAAAAAGGAGAAAGGGGGAAGTCACTGCAGGAGAATCTCCTGCAAAGTATACGGTATAGTTGTCGCCAAAGTCATCATAAATACGTACGACAATAACGGATCGAAATAACGTTTAGTCGTCCCTGATTTTCAGTTTCGACCAATGTCCAATCCCTTATTTATAACAATTTCCCTTCCATTCGCACGCTCATCGACGAGATAACAAGCACGAACGTCGACGAGTCGTTTCACCCCCTAATAACATTAGAATAGCAAACGTTCATGAAAATGTTTGTTCCTTTAAAAGATAGTGAACACATCGTCTTGCATCGAAGTCCAAAAGTTTCCTTAAAAAAATGTAAAAACTGTCCCCGAATACTGAAGTCACGGCTCCCGTATCTCTGAATGTGAAACGACCAAACGACGATCGTGCCTTACACCTGTTTCAATTACCATCCCCGCCCGATGACAACTGTTCAACAAAGAAAACAATAGCTAAAAATCTTCACAATATCTACAACGTTGTTTAAACCTCTCACCACAACACTCACGAAACCTTGTAAATCGGGATTCACCCTAAACACGCTATTGATATGCTGCAATTAACTCGATCTCCGTCCAAGGGGGCAATAATTATATTAATTATATGACGCCGGTCAGGAGAATAATACTTGGGTGACTGCAATGGAACTCGAACGTACGTAAGAAGTCGCGATAATCTTAACGATAACTTGCAACGATCAATGTAAGGATTGAATCGGTAAGGAAGATATCGCGTTTATCGTCAGCGGCGACGAGCCAGCAACATGCCTCCAACAATCAGTCGTCGCGTTTCATTTTTTTATATTTTTTTTTCATTTTTTTTGTTTTCGTTTTAATTCCTCCCGCGATTTTCTACCTATTTCGTTCTCGTCGCAGGAAGTCGGCAGTTTTCGGGCAGCATTAGACTCGGTTCGAAAGACTTGTTGTCGTGTTTTCTTTTTGTTCTTCGCGTTTTTTTTATCTGGTCCACCACCCCAGCCCGTGATCAGGAACAGGAGATTTGCTTGGGTCGCGTGGAAACTCGAGGATATCTTCTTCAACGTCTCCGTAGCGATACAAACAAGATGCGCCGCTAAGTTCAGGTTCTGGAAGAGTAGCAACCAGCTGTCTCAGGTTCTGATACAGCAGCCACGTTGCTTCGGTAATCATGCCGCCAGCAGGTTCTTTATGTTCTTCGGCGTGTTCTCCTCGTTCAGGTGTTTCGTGGTGTAACGGAGCGCGTTCAACAGACCCTCACTCTTGCAAGGTGGCTGATCCTTCAGTAATTTTACACATCCTTTAACCTGTAATGAAAACGGATTTTTCAAATATACCAATGCTTATATTTGTTGTTACAGCGAATCAAATATTTTATGTTCACTAATCCGTTGCAAAATTTTAATGAGAGTAATTTTCTGCGAGAAGAACTTTGAAGTGTAATCTTTAATAATGTTAGATTTTGTGAAACTTTTATACAATTTTTATACGAAGTCGTTTTGATGATAGTGAATGTACTGAACACTGTAAGTTACAGTATGTTAAAACTCATTTTTAAAATTCGATTTGTAGATATTAGATGGATTGATTTAACCCCTTGCCTTAGGATTTAATTTTGTAGATGCATTTGTTAGAACTATTTATCGTTAATAATGCACTAGTAAAAGAAAACATTCCATGCTCTTTCTATGTATAGATTTAGTATAAACCATACAATTTACTAACAAGAACAGTAATGTTTATTCAAAATTTCATTTAAACTTAACACAACTCAATGACATTTATGTTTGTTAAACCACATTGGAAATTTAAAATAGCCTCGAGTCTGACATGATATTGTAAGGCAAGGGATTAATAGACATGAAAGAGAGAAGAAATTCCAGAATATAAATTATAAAAATGAAGTTAATAAAGTGAATACTCGTTAATAAACATTCGGTGATTCGAATTATTCATAGATACATTATTTAATTATTTTTAATACCCTTAGCTACCCCTTTAGCTATTTTAGTGTGAGCCTGATAAAACTCGAAAGGTTAATAGATAATTTTATCTACTGTTATTTTTATTATAATGTAAATATATTTAACTTGAAGTATATTCTTGTCGAACCCCTCGCACTATTTCCTTCTTGAAAATATATTTTTATGCTTTCTACAAATAGTGTGAATAATTCATATTTATACTTACATCAACATTTGAACCCTTAACAAAGGCACCTTGAGGATGAACGTGATCATAAAGGATCACTAACCCAACCATAACTCTTAAAACAAAGAGCTGAGTTTCTTCTCGTTGGAACTGAGCCAGGAGATTGCTAAAAACAATAATATAATTCAGTTTGAATCGAAACGATAAATGACTTCATCCATCCGAAAGCTTTCGCATTCTATTTGGATAACTTAACCCTTTGACCTATTATTTTTCTTTGTCACTAAGCTCGGGTAACTTTTTATAATCAACAGTTCGCATGAAACGTAAAGAAATGTTCAATTTCATTATAAGTGAAAAATTACTTTAAAGATAATAAATTGATAACAGCAAAATAGATTTTCACTTTGACTCATGCGCAATGAACAACATTGATTTTTATTAAATCAATCCAGAAATCTTTATCACGAGTCTCACTCTTCACTGTACGGCAAGGGGTTAAGAACATTTCCCTCGAATTTATTAATTGCTTGTTTACTTACGGATTTTCTAACATTCGTAAGCAGACTTTCGCCATTGTACCAAGAGTTTCCGTAATATTTTCGCGCGCTACATCTTCGTTCTAAAACAATAAATATATTATCTTGTAATGTACAGTAACAGTTCATTATAAAACTGTTGTTCTAAATGTGGGTTAGGGTCCGTCATTGTAATTACCGTTCAAAATCGAAGTAATGCGAATATCATTTGTCCTTATATATATGTATAAGTTGAAAATATTAAAATTCCTAATTTCACAAATGATAATAAATACTGTCAGAATCACTCCGAAACTAAATCCGTGCAATTTAAACCGATTTGCTATTATATCGTTAAATGTTCCGAGAATGGTTGCAGTCTGAATCATTTCATAATGGATTTTAATTTTCTACTTCAGCGCACTTCGCTATGTATGTATATTGTACTGTTGCACTGCGCGTCGTCAGAAATTCTCTATTAATCCAATCCGCACGAACATTCACCAAAAATAACAGGCTCTCGCAAACATGAAAGTCAATTATCGAGTCCTTTAATTCTCAAAGATCAATTAATCAACATAGACACAAAAGTTATAAACTCGTTCGAATATTAAGCAAATGTCATTGATGTAATATCAATATTGATCAGTTTCATTTCATTACTGTGATCGACAATTTTCTTTCCCCTAGAATGATCGCTATGATCGAGCCCAGCGTAATGGATCGCGATTTTATTCGTTAAATAATTAATCAGCGAGAATTGAAGCGAGAGGGGATAGAAAATAAGATGCATTAATGTTAATGATTTGTTCTTTCATCGGCACGCACTTCGGAATTCAGGTAATAAGAATGTGCAGTCCGGTTGGTAAGTTGGCGTCTAGTCAAATCGATAATTGTCGGCGGACACGGATGGAAGATGGGGAAGTACAAAAGAAGAGAGGTGGGACACCACTTACGTCCATCAAGAAAGTAATGGTCGCGTGACTCAGAACGCGAAGCATGGGTGTCGCGTGGGCGTAGAACAAGGACATTCTGTTGGCGAGCTCATTCCCGACCACGAGATCCTTTTCAGCGGTGTCCTGCCTTGTCAGGGATGCCCTAGTCAACGTTCGACGATAATAACTGAAATCGTTCTGAATGGCAGGCGTCTTCATCTTGTGCTCGTCGAATTTTAGAACGAACTCCAGTATCTCGGCTAGTTGCTTCACCAATGCCTGTTGTGTCTCCAGGTGCTGAGTGGGAGACAGATTTCCTGAACATAGTTGACCCAGAATTTTCGGTACCACCCTTTCTGAAACAATCGAAACAGATGCGTTAAGTTTATTTGGTTTTGGTTTTAGTGTTTAGTGTCAGTAGTGCACGAAGTATTTAGTATTTAGTACTTATTATTCAATATTAGTATAGTAATATAATTATTAGACGTTTAATAAATAACCATTATATACTTATAAATGTTTATACGCTGAGTATGGATCGTTAGAGGTAAACAACAATTAATTTCCATTATCAATGTTTAATTAATCGTCGTTTTAATTTAAATATTTAGAAGCATTTTAGCAACCGTGGTTTAATTATTAAAATGTAATACAATTATAACATAATATAATGCACAGATTTCGCAATTTGATAACTTAACAATCCTATTACGTATTTATTAAAGTCCAATAAATACATCAATGTATTAAATTATGTATTTATTAAATATTAATGGATAAAATCTGTTGGTTGTCCTGGTTGGTCAATTTTCCTATATACAATAGAAAATTACGAACATTGGACATTTTCAAAAGTCCAATTTATCAACCCCTTTTTCAATATCATTTTGTTAACTCGTTGTTAGTTAATTTATTCATGGTGTTACTCTGCTTCGATAACTTCGGCGTTATTTTACACGAAGGTAATAAATTCTTCTCAATTCTGCATCGTTCCAAAGTTTCGCTCGTACCGATGCGACGATATTGGATTTTCGATCACCGGTGTATGTATACGAGAATATCCAGGTTAAATAATTCTCAGCAGCACGTTGCCGCAGCAATATCGACATGTTGGTCCGCACGTTTTTATTTGGTTCCAACGAATGACAGTGTAATTAAAGCACACAAAAGATATGTCTAATTGAAATCGTAAAAGATACAATTCCACATTTCAAACTAATAATTACTTTACCCATTAAAATTAGTAACTGTTCAATTCGCTAGAATCAATACCGATAAAATGAATTTTCAATGTGAATTTTCAGAAAGCATTTCAATCATTTCATTTTTTAATGAGATAACAATTTTCGGTGTAGATAAAAAGTATTGTATATATTCTATTTTTCACTTTCTATATATATTTATACATATGAATTTGTATTCTCTTTTTTTCGTTAGCGATATTAGCGTGCGAAACTCACCAAGTTCCAAAGAAAATTCGTAGAATTTTTTCAATTTGGCGACAAGGGGAGCGACAGTCAGATAGGCTTTCCGTTGACACTCCTCCGTAGGCGCCGAAATCGCTTCTCTGATTTCTTTCCCAGCCCCTTTGTAACATTGAATCTCCTCCAAGATAGATTCTGAATTTTTCAGAACTCTCTGCACTGCTTCAAAGGTCTCCCGTTCTAAGTCGGAGGGTTGTGCGTCTGAAATTCAATACAAAGCGCTATTATCACCCAGATAACTCCGTCTAACCACTGTTCTTTGCAAAAATGTTTACAAATATGTCATCAAAATATTTTAATTAATACATGATTCGTTCACAGATCAAAAGTATTAATTCTGTTCCTCGAATATTCTCAAATTTTCGTATTAAAACACTCGGTTGGTTCTTTATTCAACCAATTTTGTTAAATGTTTTTAATCTATGTTTCATGCAGTTAATAAAATACAGAATTCATTTATTTCTATTGGTTTTAACGTTTTTACTATTACTTATGAAAAGTTATTACACGCGAAACTTGCCACGAGACTTACTTTCGAAATCCAAAAAGACGTCGTATTTTTGAGGTGTGCAACAGGTAGACTCATCTCGAGCCAAAAGACTTAAGAGCTTGCCCATCTTCGGTTTGAGGGTTCCTTTGCTCGTACGTTATTTACAACATGAAAGGCATCTGTATCGAAACAAAAAGAACCTTTTCAGAAGATGCTTAAACGCGACAGCAAATGTTGAATCGTTTCACAGAACATGCTTCTCGCAAGTGTCGCTTTAGAAGAGTGTCTCTGTAAATTTGAAAATGAAAATAAACTGTTAATGAAACCAGCTGAAAGTGAAACATCAATGATTTTTACGAAAAGAAAGTTTTAAATATCAGTGAATCACAACTTTTATAAAACATGTCATTCACAAATGTCACTTCAAATAAGAATCACTGTAAATTTAAAAATGAAAATAAACTATTAACGAAACCAACTGAAAGTGAAATATCAATGATATTCACAAAACGAAAGTTTGAAATATCAGCGAGTCATAACAAATTTCACAGAACAAGTTTCTCACGAGTGTCACTTTAAAATAGCGTCGCCATAAATTCTAAAACAAAAATAAACAATTACGAAACAGCTGAAAATGAAGTATTATTGATTTTTATGAAACGAAAATTTGAAATGTTAATGAAACACTGATAAATCCGGTGGATTCACACTAATATAAATGAACAAAAATTAATCGAAAGATGTCACATTCGAGTGGACAGTTTCTGCGTTCGGAGCTTGCGTCTTTACCACTCGGAGTCGGAACGGAATTTGAATTTCTGGCCCGATCCCTAAACCGATCTGCGCGTACATGTCGAAGTGTTAATCCCCGACGGACTACCAATACACGTGTTAACGTGTACACGCGTAGGTACACACCGCACAGGAGCCCTATGTGTGCCGCGAAACGAATGAATTCTGTGAACTCGTGAACGAGGGACGAACGTTCTATTAATTCCGTCCCGCCAAGTCAATGTATGCTGACCTCACCTGCGACCAAGTATTCTAAGGACTCGCATTTCCTACGCACACTTTTGCCAATTAAAGTTTCGACGTTATTTGAACTTCCGTTCATGAAACTTCGTCAAACAAATTCTTAGGTGAAAAATCTAGAGATCTAGAAATTGCTTTCTATAGTCGCAATACTGTCGAATTAGCGACCACTTCGTTTTCCTATTTAACTTAAACTTCGTTATCTTTTACGCAAACTGATCGATACAGAAAACGTAAGCTGAAGTTAACATTTATTCTTCGATGTTAAATATTTTGCGGTAGGCATCTCGTGAACCTCATTCTGCTAATTTTAAGCACATCGTATACAATTACTTATTTTTAACGCTTCGCGTCTAACTTGCAAAGTATTATATTAATTAAAGGAATATTATACTGCTTTGATAATGGATTAATAGGATAATACTGAAGCAATCTGTAAAAATGAAAGAACTTTCTAGCAAATACTGTCCAATCGATCAATTTTCGAATAAAAAGTAAAATTTAAGTATTAGAACTGCGCGCTCTGTCGGTAACGCAGGGACACGCGAGCGGTTTCGACTCACGGGTAGACTTCATTAACTTTTTATAATAACGTTTAACGTATTTATTCATTGTTATTAATAGAGCCGCGAGACAAAGAAGTTGTCAGTTGGTTTTGCGGACAAGATGCGATCAATATATATTATAGCAGCTGTGAGCAGAGCTTGGGAAAGACTTATCAGATAATAATTCTCTAATCGAAGACGCCGAGGCGATAAGATCGCGGTAAACAGTGGAATTCGCTGAAAGCCATGTCACGAATAAAAGGACAACGATCGGGTTTACTAGATCTAAAATTGTGCACTGAGAAATTCCAATGTACCGGTGAATGTCTCCGTTATTTTTAGCGGAGAAGTATATGTCCTGCTAACGAACCTCTCTCGTCACTTAAAGCCCCATAGATCCGCAAGATAGCCCGATACGGCCGGCGAGAAAAATTCGTTTACCCACGCTAAAAGCTTTCAATAAAGTCACTCGGAAAGTGTATCGAACACCGTATGTTCTCTACAAATTATTTTCCCTTATCGAGCGAACACCGATAAAACGACCGTGGGCGATTACGAAAATTCAATCGCGCTTTTGTCACGAGGAATTAAATCCGATCCGAAATAACATCCGTGCACAGCACGAGGGTAGAATAAATGTTTACACACGAAATTCCAGCGTTGATTCGATGCAGAACTGTGTACCATTCGACTCTGCACTGTATCTTCATAGTATCGACTCTAAAAAAGAAGAGGATTTCTCAACAGCGACAGAATAACGAAACTTCTTCACAAAAATCGAGCGTCAGTCGCCCGATATGATACAATCGGTCACGTAAACACGTATACGCACGTAGTTCACACGCAACTCCTAAAGTCACATCACGAAACGGGAGTACACTAGCAATAATAACATTCTTATTTCAAATGTCAAATTTATCAATCCGACAAGGGAAAAGAATCGAACTAGCTAGATCACTGAACATTTTCACAGGGGTTGAACAAATGCACAAGAACCGTGTACCTCGATTCCGCATTGTGTCCTCACAGTATCGACTCCATAAAACAAAGAATTTCTCAAAAGTAGAAAAATAAGAAAACCGTTTCACAGAAACCAGGAATCAGTCACAAAATATAATATAACTGTCCACGTAAACACGTAAAGGAACGTAGTTCGAACGCAACCCTTAAAGTAATTTTACGAAATGGGGGCACATTGGCAATAAGAAAATTTTGATTTCGATGAAACGTAATAGTTAATTGATAAACGAAACGAGAAAAAAGGATCGAACTGATCAAATCACTGATCATCTTCGGGAGGGTTGAAGAAGGGGTAGCGAAGGTAATGGCACTGATTTTTGAACGATCCGCGTGCGCGAACTCACCGCGGTGAAGATTTGCCGTAATCGCGGCCGACAACGGCGATGCATGATGCTGGCAGGTGCACGTTCTGAGCCCGGGGGTGGTCAACAAGTATTCGAGGCGAGTGCAACAACTGTCATTCAACGGACCGCCATGTTGCCGTGCGAACGGGGGTTGACGTTGAGCAGCGGCGCGACTCGTGGCCTCTCCTTATTTGGTAAACTACACTGGCGGCGGCACACTCGCGCGAAAAATCAATGGGGGTTAGTTCCTCAGTTCACCCTTAAGGTGACGCTGCTGACCGCTACGATCATCGCGTTCGAAACGTGTTCCATTTGAGAATTTTATCGATTGCTCGGGGTATTTCATGTCTGTCCCGACAAACGGCGTTGGCGTGTTCTATCAGGAGAAACAAAAAGGAATGTTGTAAACTCGTCTCTTCATTTACGCGGCATCTTTTTTACGCGACTCTCTTTTTTAATAGCTTTCTGACCGGTGAATTTGTTTACGGAAAATATCTTTTAACTTTAATATACATGCTTTATTCACATATGAGTCGCTTACTGGACAAATCTATTAACTCCACTTTTTTAATTTTTTTAGATTTTATCATTAGCGGTTCATTAACTGTTTTTTTTTAGTCAGTTTTTAGATGTAATATAAATTTCATTATGACTGGGCTTGGTGCCAGGGAATAATAAAAAGTCTTTTGGTCAAGGAAAAATTGTAATAATAATGAAGGTTACTTCGAAAGTATACTATTTTATAAAATTTTACATTAATGATGATTCGATTTTGCATTTAAAGGGAAATTTTAAAAATCAATATGTAATTGTTGTATCACCTTTCTTTACTTTTTGTTTTGTGATTGACTGTGTTTTGACTTTATTTACGCGATTTTCATTCGTGCAAAATGAATTCACGTGGAATGGATACGCCGCGTGAATGGAAGGAGTATCATATTAAATCCTGTTACAAAGTTATGAGAAAAATATTAGATTTTTAACTGACTGGTTTCTGGTCTGAGTCACGAGAAATGACTCACGCAATCAATTGAGTTGGTAGGTTTTCTTTGTACTCAATGGAAAAGTCTCTTTTAACTTTCACCCGTCTCGTAAAAAGAATCACAGCAAAAGTGAATCTCGATCTGGGTTGAAAAAGACCCTAGGGCCTGATCAAAATTAACATTAGATTTACGGATACTTGCTGTACTGTTTATTCTATTGTTCATAGAAAACTTAATGTTGGTTCGTTTAAGTTTTAGAAATTGGAAGTTTAAACATAGTCAATTGTACCTTTTCGTGTAGTTGCATCAGTCGAAATCGACGTGAAGGAAATTTATTAACCATTAACGATCGACAATTTTCTATTAACTCTTAGCAGACGAGACTGTCTTAAATTTCTAACATTTCTTTTCATAATTGAATATCGTTAATTGAATACTTAGATTATTCATTTACAATTATCGAGTTTAGATATCGAAGCCCGTGGTCGTCATTACGGAGACGTTCAACTGCAAGGGGTTAATATGGTTAACCGATTTCTACGAAGATACTCGTTTTTAAATATTCGAAGAAGATTAACTAGAAACGACTTTGTCGATTATTTGAATTTTAACTGGGGAAAAAATGTTCCTCTACATGCTTCGTATATATGTGTAGCATTGTTTATTGGAAGCGTAAGAATGTATTTATGACGGCTATAATCGTATATTTGCGCCAGCGTGGAGCCGTAGGTTGCATTTCAAAATACGGTGACAAATTTAGAACTTCTCGAGACTAGTAGCGAAGTCATCCATGAGGGGGTACTCACTTTTTCGTAGACCAACGGGTCGCCAGTGGCGGTCAGAATGAAACTTGAAAGGGTGAACGATACCGCGGTTGACCGAGTTACCGGGAATTAATCTTTTTTAATGTTTATGTAGCTTTACCGGGGATATTCGGTTCAGTTCCTTTATAGGTTAACGCTCGAGGAACAGACAGGTGACATTGAAATGACAACCCGTTTATAAACTATCGGGAAACTTTCATACTCGTTGAACAAATCCAGCTGCGTTTTAAAGAGGCGGAAAATGTTCGGTGACTAACGTTCAGCAGCTGTACGAGGTTAATGAAGTTTCTAGATAATTTCCCTTTCAAATTTTACTCGAATATAACTGTCACAACAAATTTTTGTTTCTTTTTGAGTAAATCCTTTACCTGTCCTTAGATAACTTTAGAAAAAAACGAAAAATGAAATAATGTAATATTTTATAAGTAGAACATATGGATGTTTTATTTCTAACCACATGTTAATTGTATTATAAGATATGTAATAATAATTTATATTTCTAATTTGTAATTGACGAAATATATATTTATAGTTAATAATAATTTGTATGCTAATGATTTTTGGCTTTTGTAATGTTTAATATTAAATATGAATATTTCGAAACAGGTAGTTGTTAAAGATATCTATTTCGTTTACCTTGGATATTACATTGACATAGCATTTCAAAAATTCTTAAGGTATACAGAGATTTTTGAAGTTTCACTTGTCAACGAGACCATGAGTACCACTCGGAAGGTGCGTAAGACGTCGATGATGCCCGTGACATCGAAGGTGTTGGAGAACGGACTTTTATAAATAATTATAATAAAAATCGATATGCCTTTAATGTTCTTTTTAAATTATTGATGTAAGTATGATAATATTAATGACGTCAATATGTGTGTACGATAAGAAGCAAAACATAGTATTCGTAGAAAAAAGATTATTCTAAAAATAGTAGACAACAAATGCATATCTATGTGAATATATTGAGCCAGTCTGTAATGTCAATATAATAGTTAATATACCATTGAATATTAAAGCATTTATTAATGAAAATATATAAATATAAAAAGTTAATAAAAACACTGACAGCATATTGATAACGAGAAATCTCGTTTTTATATTAAGATAACTAGCTATGTAACTTTACCAGTTGCCACAGCATTTAAAAAGATATTAAATTTCATCAGAACTGATAATATATTTAGAATATATTACATAACAACATGATATTTGAGTTTTTCTATATATATAATAAATTGATCTCATTAAATTAGCTAGTACACATCGTGTTCATATATTATATAAAAAATAAATATTAAAATGTTATACCGTGATCGATCGAAATTTTTATGTAAGTTACACGCATACTAAGACATTTTAATGATCCGATGAAATAAAGTATTTAAATATTGTCGTGGTGTCGAGGTTTTGCACCTCTTTTAAGACCGCTATTGGATAATCGTCGGAAACCGTGGGGGAAGATAATCGACGCATATTAAAGGCCTTTTTGTACATCAATTCCAGCAAATCAATTGAGACCCTCAAGTACCTACCGCCATGACTCGCGGTACGTGTTCCCCTTTCCCTAGGGCAACCTTAATTCCATCACTGCAATGACGAACAAACCTATGATGGCGCTATCAATGACTCTCAATATTAATTCAGATTCAACGAAATTCGATAAAGTTCTATAATGGACATGCAAATTGACCCACTTCAGAATTTTGCAATTTGTAAGTATTTAAATTATGAAGGCATTTTCGCGAAAGATTTTAAATTAAAGTCTATCTATATAGGTACCAGACTAAGAGTCCTATCGAATCTCAATAAACCTATTGTTCTAATTGTCATAAAAAATTAGAAATACGTTACTCTAATTGCTTGGTAGTTTTAGTGTTAAGATATTATACAAGAATCAGTGTAATCGCTCACCGGTGATCCCCGACGAAATAGATTTATTATAATTCCCTGAATCAAACAACGATTATTTGAAAACATTTCTATATTATAAATAATGCTACCTAATGCGATGGCATTCAGCTACACGAACGTACCATAATTAATATTATATTTTTTCCCATTTTACATATTTTGTTCTATGAAATCGTGCGGCATTTGACGTGTTAACCCTGTGCACTAGACTTATTTTCAACGTTGTTGGCTGTAAACTTGTATTTATTTCTAGGGAAATGAAGGTAAGATTCAACACTTCATATTTATTTCATTTATCATTATAATAAGATTTAATTTCTCTAATCTTTCACAGTATGGTACTCTTTCAAATACCACAAATACAGTATAAGAAATTTCTATTGTCATCTCCAGTATGACATACGAGTGCAAAGGGTTAAACATTCTCGAATCGTATGATTATCTGTTCCGTTCGAGTTCTGCGGATTGAATGGAAACGTTGGCGAAGCTATTGAAAGAAACTACCGATCCGAGTGGGTGTCTAATATCGTATTTTGCAATTCCGCGCACGGGATCCACGCAGTCTGCGAACGTCATTCGAGTCGTCGCTGTGCGTTCAACACGGTGGCTGATATATCGTTAACGACACTTCTCGTTCTCCGGGCACAGTGCGCATAAAACGTGAAGGAGTAGCCTTGTAGTGTCTCTTTAAGCGCGAGCACCACTCGTCCACGGCTGGCAAGTCTCAACACGCAACACCGTGCGTGCTTAATAAGGCAAGCGTGTGCGAACGCAGCTTAAATACCAGGGAAGCGCGTAACTACCTACGTCTAGCGATGGGTATTCGAGTTGCTCGAATGTGTTCTAAACACCAAACACAGTGTTCGAACGAAACGCGAACTACCCTTGTGCCATTTGTACAAATATATTAAGTATAATAAATATAGTGGAATATGTTGAGTGTAATAAAATATATAAAATATAGTAAAATATGTTGAATGTAGTGAAATACGTTAAATATAGTAAAATATATTAAATACAGTGAAATATGTTGAATGTGGTAAAATATGTAAAGTAACAATGGAATAATCAAGTTTATCGTTAAATTATATTATTGACGAGTTATATCATTGTTACACATAATGATATAAGGCATTGTTACATATAATGATATAGTACGCAATTCGTTAAAACAGCTTTTACTATTTGTGCAGATATACAAATGTTCTCGTTGAACATTAACATGCTGCCAACCGAGCATTTTTCGCAAGCGTGTAGTAATCTTTGGAAATAAAAACTCTCACAAAGTACGGAAGACGCTTTAAACGATGCGTAATGCTTTTAGTAGCTGTCACTCTTTACTTTCTATAACTTGATTACATAGAAAATAGAAGGCAAAGAAAAATAGGAAAAACGAATGTCATTAACATTTCCATTATCTCAGTCTAGTCAGGTCTTGAATATAGGAGAAACTTTAACGGAGAACATCGATACTGATTTGCATTAATTACTATTGTAACAATAGAACTCATAACGAGAAAGACATTTCTAATTTAGTTTATACGAATTCGAAGTTGCAGTGGAATATCATTTCACCAAAATAATGCAGAATTTGTTTCTAACTGTTGCCAATCTTTCGATCGTGAAGACGTTTGAATTTCCCGCGCAAGTCC